ATTATGATAGCTGATCCACAGCCCCCGTCTCTCTCTTTATGTATGTGAGGCTGGTGAGGAGCAAAGCTCATCACTTACACGAATCCCAATTTCAGGGAGCAATAGAAGATTTATCTACTCATGCGCTGTTTAGTTTAGGATTAGGTAACTAAGGAAATGTCTGCCTTCTCTGAGGTACAGTTGTGTGTTCTTTTGTTTTGCCCACTCTATAAAATATCAAGAAAGGTCCATTTGAGCCTTTGCAAAAACTGAATTTTTAGGTTGTTTTTGTGAAAGTTGAAGTAATGGAGTAGGGAAAGTTTTCAATTTGAGTATGTACTAGGCTTATATTATGGAACTGAAATTCATCATGCCTGAGTATAAAATGGAAAAAAATAATGATTAAATACATTGCAGTAGATGATAGACAAGAGGGGAAAAATTTCAACAACATTTAGAGTTGTTACTAAAATTCTCTTTTTTAATGCATATTTGTCTGACCATAGAGCAGCAGTCCCCAACCTTTTTGGCACTAGGGACCGGTTTCATGGAAGACAGTTTTTCCATGGGACAGGGGCAGGGGCGCAGCGGAGCTCTGAGCCCAGTCCCTAACGGGACGCAGACAAGTACCGGTCCGTGAGGCTCGGGGGTAGGGGAACACAGCCATAGAGAATAGAGAATCATAATCATAATAGATTCTTAATACTCAATTAATCTATAATTTTTATATGTTAGGAAGAATCTTTATCTTTTCAATTTTCCACGTTGGGATTTTTAAAATATTAAAAGCATATCTATCTTAAATTTTTCAAACTAATGAGAATCTATCATATATTCAACTGCCATATTGCAAATTAGGATTCTGGGACTCAGGGACGTTAACTGATTTGTCTAAAGCAATATGGCTAATATATATGGCAGAGTTTGGTTACAATGTGATGTCCCTGATGCCAAAACCCTAACCTTAGATATGTCATCTTCCCATTAATCATATGGCCTTCAATCATTCAGAATGGTTTTTGATATAGAAAGTGTGGATCTATACCGACCACTTCTAACCAACTAATTGCCCACTTCTCTAGAAATTTCATGTCTCTCCTTGTTGATTCCCACTGTAGCCTTGTGTCAGTTGCAAACAATACACACGGTGTTTTCCATTACGCAAGTCATTGGAGAAGTCACAGAACACAAGACCTGCTACCAACTTCTCCAAGTAAATATTAATACACTAATATTAGTTCTTTGGATGTTGAATTTTAGAAGTTATTCAAGTCCAAGAAACTATATGGTCTACAACTTTCATTTCTTCTGTAGACAAGATACAATTCACTTGGATCTTTTTCAAGTCAACATAGAATCAGAAGATTTTTCAAGTAAAAACAGACTTAACCTAATGTTTCCCCTTGATCTTAGCAAACCTGCAGAATTGTGTAAGATTTGATTAGCCAGATAAGACTCATCTATCCAATTGGTTGATATCCAATTGTTAGTTTTTATTCAAGAGAGAAAGCATACAGGTCGTCTTGTTTGGCCCTTACCTATAAATCCCCAGGACTTTTTCGTTGTGACTACTTTGTCGTAATCAGTCTCTTTGTGCGCTTTACTTGTGAGATTACTCAGAGCAGTTCAAAATTTTGGCAAGTATTTCTTTAAATATGTTTATTTTTCTTTTATTTTTGCTTTCTTTCTAATAAAAAGAAGGTAGAGGAGAGAAGATCAATGAATCTTGTCATTTTTAAATCAGCATTTGAATAGTAATGAGAGTGCAGTAAAGTATACGCGCTACGCTGGATTTGTGTTCCAGAATACCGAACTTAAAATGCGGGAATGGGATGCTAGTTTTCTGTACAGATTCCTGACTAACATGATTTAATCAGAGCCAGTTAGAACTAAGATTATACGATTGGTGAAAATTGTCACCCATGCCCATCAACATTTAGTTCTTTTTCCCCAAACTCATTTTCTTTGGTGTTTCCCATTTTCAACATCTTCCCACTTACCTCTCTTCCTACCTATTATCTACTGCCTTTGTTCTGTTTCAGCTGCCTCTATTTAGAAAAGATGAATTATAAGAACTTTGAGATTCAAAATATCACCTTTTCCAGTAGTATTTGCACATATGAAAAGAGGCTTGTAGAACTTTTTTTATTTTCATTACTTTTTTTTTTGGAGACAGAGTCTCTCTCTGTCACCCAGGCTGGGGTGCAGTGGCATGATCATAGCTCACTGCAGCCTTGAACTCCTGGGCTCAAACAATCCTCCCACCTCAACCTCCCGAGTAGCTGAGACTACAGGTGTGCGCCGCCATGCCTTGCAAAAAAGAGGCTTTTGGAAAAGGAAATATTTAACCTAAAGAACAGAATCTCAAATGGTTGCATTTTAGACGTGTACATAGGTGAAGTCTTTGGGGGAGGAGACAGCTGGGGACATGGGGGATGGAAAGGGGTAGTGGGAGGGATTTTTCCAGTGTACCAGCATTTCTGCTTTATAACATTTGGCCGATTCTTTCTCCTATATGCCTGAGTAGGTTGAATTTAAACTTTTGAGAACTATTCTTAATTCCAGCTCATTCTTTTGGTGGCTCAATATTTTAGCTAGACTCCTGTCCACATATAAATTTACACCTACCTCTATACATAATAAGAACTGCATATCAGCTTTAACTATAGAATCAGTTTTCCTATGGAATTATAGGTTAATTATTTTCCACTTTGGTTATTATTATGTCCTCACATTAATTATTTCTTCTGAATTTACTGTCTGCTAGTTTTCCTAAAATGTGGAAATGTTACCACTTTGATTTATATGCTATTGTAATGCATTTTAATTAAAGGCACACCACCTGTTCTCCAATTCCTCTAATCACCTCTCCTTTTTCCTGTTCACATGTCTGAGAATTAGCTTAAATGGCTATACAAAGGGTTCCAAAAAAGTGCAGCTTGCCATGTTAACTTCTACTATCTCCCACTGACATCCTCCTGAGAAGTATAGTAAGCTCCACTTTGGGGTAGCTAATTGAATCCTTTTATTATACTATGTGCTTTAGAGATGGATATTTAGAGTTTATTTATTCTAAAAACTGATTGTGACTTCCCTGCTCATCACTTGCTCATTTTAGTCTCTTGGTAAGATGGCACAAGATCCATAGAGCTGAACTCAGAACCTTAGAAGTTGCTTAACATTTCATTCTTTTTCTACTCCAGTTGCCTTCATTTTGCTTTTTCTTCTTGAAAGACTGCTTCAGAATGGAAAACTCTTTGGAAAATATGTGGTCGTATCGCCCTCTACACTGTTAAATCAAAACCTGAGAGGTGATCAAGACCCAGTACCTCCCCCAAAAGAGAGTACAATAAAATCTTCGTTGACACAGGGACTATCAGATCATGTTGATGGAATGTGGCAGGGTTTTTTGTTTGTTTGTTTGTTTGTTTGTTTGTTTATGTACCTGTTTTTTGTTTTAACAGCTACATTTACAGAAAGTCTGTTAAGCCAGTGCCCTTGGTGCTCCTGAGCTCGGCTGAATATATACAGCAAACTCTCTCAGCAAAGGAAATCAGGAGCATAGAAAACAGCTGAAAACACCAATGTCATACACAAAACAAATTGGGTCAGATTCTACATTTTTAAATATATAACTTCTTTCAACTTTAATACTATATAAATCTTTTGAACCAAAGTTAATGTAAGTTATTTGTTTCCAGTTTCCCTACTATATTTTATACTGATTAACAATTTAAAAATGTTTTTCTATTAAATAATGTACAGTCTTTAATAAATAGAGTACAGGAATTCCAAGGCCACTGACTTAAGAGAATTTTTAATCTAGTATGTACATTGTAATTTTGTCAGAGATTCTGTAGAGATAAAGCATGTACCATATTAAGAATTTCAATGTCCCCTTAGTTCTTGGTGGGAACATTAGTTAGGCCCTTTACCTATAATACAATTATCTTAAATAGTTGATTATTTTCTATGAACATTTTATTGTGTCAGTAGCAGTTCTGAAGTATATGAGGTTCACTAGCACCATTCGTGACGGTTTTCCTTCGAAAATGAGGTGAATAACTATCCAGAAACATGAGCAAACGTTCTGAAATCCAATAGATGCTTTTCTTAAAACTGTTTTGAAACCACATCATCCTCGGAGCAATGTTGGAGAGTTCAAGAGAAAGTTGTCAACCCTTCATTGTATGCTTTTTCTGTTCCTTAAAATCACTTAGTTTCTTAATTTGGAAATAGTTCAATATCTCTTGTGATTTGAATTAAGCATTGTATTTTTCTTGAAAATAATTTATTGTGTAATGCCCTGTTCTCCATGAATGTAAATCATGTACTGCAGGCTTTTAAATGACTTGATGTCTCCTCAGATCTAATTTTGGTATATTTGTATCTCAAATAATTCGCCAACTCAATATTTTGGCTTAGGAATCCAAATCAAATTGTGGTCCAAGTAGCAGGCACTCACATTGGATGTACAGAGACTTGACAAGCAATTAGCAATGAATATTTAAATGTCTTCATTACCCTTGCATGAGGAATGCAGATGGCATTTGGGAAGATGGCAACCAGAGGGCACTACTGTGAATTATGTTTCTATCATTTGGTCACCTGACTATTGGAGGATTTTTCTCTGGGCCTCATGCCACTCCTATACTTCTACTGTTTGGCTAAAAATAAAGCAGACATTCCAAATATGAAACAGGTCGCTTCTGTGAAATTTCTGCACGCATCTTGTGATTTGGTAAGGTTGTCTCCAAAGATCTCCACATATGTCCTTTAGGTGTACCAAACCCAAATGCCATGACGTCATAGAGGTCTATATGAATCAAAGTTCCTTCAAAAATCCCGCTGATTTTTCCTTTAATTACCTCCGTGTAAGATACTGCACATGCAAAGGTAAAAAAAAAAATGAACATCCTGTCCTTTCCAGAAGCTAATGTAGTGTATATGGTCCAAAAAAAAATGTCTTCAAATAATTATAATTTCCAGATTGAACTCTCATTATAAATTTTTCTTTTAAGGAAAAAACAACACTGGAGAGTCTGACTCAGCAACTGGCAGTTAAACAGAATGAAGAAGGAAAATTTAGCCATGCAATGATGGATTTCAATCTGAGTGGAGATTCTGATGGTTTGTGAAAATTGTTCATGTATATTCCAGTAATGTGCAGAAGTGTGCATTTAGTGTAAATTAAAACTGCTAAAAAATAGACAAGACAGCCACCTCATACCTGAACATTACAATAAGAGGTCACATGTACTGAGCAGTTCCCATGTGCCAAGCAGTCCACTGAGTGCTTTGCGTAAATCATCTCACTTAATTCCTAGCACAACCTATGAGATGAGTATCGCTGCAGAGAGGGACTGACCCTTAAGAGTTTTGAAGTATTTTTTCCAAGGTCACAGGGCTCTAAGTGGCAGAAGCTGGACTTGAATTCTAAAGCAAATGCTCTTAATCACCATCTACCCTGTCTCTCACTTCCCTATTTCTTGTACCCAAATCACACTCTTCAGAAATTTGTATCTATCAGCTCATTTTTAAGTTTCTATTTGTCAAGCCATGATCAGAATACATAGCTCAAAGTACATATTCAAGATAGTTTTTTTTTTTTACATTTTTGATACTTTTCACTCCTTTACTATCTACCACACAGTCAAGTATGCTCTTACTATCTGTAACCTAACTAGAATCCAGCTGAAAATCTTCCTGCTTCCCTCATGTGCCTCAAGACTTGTGTTGTCTTTATTGTCTATGAACCTTCTAAGCATCCACAGTGACATCTAATTAAGTTGCTACTCTGATTTTAATAGCATAGCAAAAAGGGTAAAAGAAGAAAGTGCTGTTCTTATATAGTGCCCTGACTGGGAACCCCTCTTTAGTGTTGGGTGAAATACATGCATTTTAAGAGTCCCTTTGGTGGCACAGCCCTTAATGTTGCTGCTATAACAAGGAAGTTCCTTGCATGTAGAAAAGACTGCCCCAGGAAAACCAGTAAGCAGCATACTTCAGGAGAGAGGGGGTCCACTGGAATCCTCCAACATACACGCTACTCCCTCTACTCCAGCTGCTTTGGGCCAGTTCTACTTTTAAATCCAGGTCTGCACTTAGCCAAGGGATTAGCCAAACCTGAACATTTAACCACATAATTCTGTCAAAACTGAAAACCGATAGCCAAGAAAAATCTGCATTTTTCTTATTTAATGTATCCAAACATTTCTGTCTATTTTCTACTTCACTTGGCTGAAATAAACCTGGCCTAAGTGCATACAAAGAGCTTGTTTAGATTTGATGAAGTCACATAATGTTCATTTTATTGCTTATGTTGCTGTAAGGTGTAAGAACAAGAAAAGGCAGATGTGCAAATGATCATTTGCTAGTTACAAACCCATTTTAGAAAGATGTTGCCATATATTGCACTCATTTTGTCAATAAAAAGACAATTACTGGTAATAACACATTTCATAAATTTTAAGTTGTATTAGCATGATAAAATATACCCATAGTAATCAGCATTAAAACATCAAAGTTTTTGTTGCTGTTATTTGTTAAATTCAGTTGTGCTTATATGTGAAATATTTTCCATCTTTCATCAGACCAAAGGGCTTGTTATGAATGAGAAATAATGAGAAACTCCACCAACAGACATGCTGTGTTTTTTTGTTTACTAACATAGAGCTCTTCAAGTCTGGGTAATTTTGGTTAACTCCTATGCCTTCAAAGTAAGAAAAGAAAAGAGGAAGAAAAGAAGAAAACAAAAGAATGCTTTTATTGATAATACAAGCTCTACAAATCCCCAAAGTATTTTAAATATTTAGATATTACCAAAATAGATCTATTCCATTTTTTTTTTTTTTTTTTGTGATGATAACAAGTGAAAACCTGCTATCAGAATTCTACATTTTCTTCTGGTTCTCCTTATTTGCTTTGCCTAATCTCAAGTATCTTGGAAGCTGTTTAATCTGCTAAATCCATTCTAAGAAGTCCTGTAAGATTAGAAGAGTAAATGCGGTGTCCAAAGGTTTCATTGTGACTCTTGGGTTGTGTTTTATTATCAGTGAAGCTTACTGATTGATAAGTAACTATCAGTGGGTCTCTTTGAATAACCTTAGATGTTAGGGGAGAAATTCAGAGGAATAAATTATTTTTCTCACCTCAAACATGTGACAGTCGACCCCTTTAGAAATCACAGTAATATAACTATTCATTTGTTCTTTTCCCTACCATTTTACCTATCTTTTTAGAGGCAGACCTATCATTGCTACATCAGCATATATCATGCACAATTTCAAAGAGAAGAAAAGCATATTACAATGAAATATCTATATTGTATTTTAATTGCAAAATCTTATCTAGCAGTATGTTTACTTATGTAAACTCAGAGAGAGGAAAAGGGCCTGAGTACTCTATGTTCTGACAGGCTTTAAGTAGCAAAGATATATCCTCACCTGTAATCATCCATTCTGCCAAGAAGATTAGTGTTTCCTGGTTTTTTTTTCCTTTTTTTTTTTTTGAGACAGAGTCTCACTCTTTTTGCCCAGGCTAGAGTGCCGTGGCATCATCATAGCTCACAGCAACCTCAAACTCCTGGGCTCAACGATCCTCCTGCCTCAGCCTCCCGAGTAGCTGGGACTACAGGCATGTGCCACCATGCCCGGCTAATTTTTTCTATATATTTTTAGTTGTCCGGCTAATTTCTTTCTATTTTTGGTAGAGACGGGGTCTCACTCTTGCTCAGGCTGGTCTTGAACTCCTGACCTGGAGTGATCCACCCGCCTTGGCCTCCCAGAGTGCTCGGATTACAGGCGTGAGCCACCGCACCTGGCCTGAACTTCTTTACCTATTTAATATTTCTACAGTACCTGCATGACTGTTGATTTAATCTAACTCTTCTCTGCATCAAAAATTATACATTCAAGTTTCTTGTGACCTCTTGAAAGAAACTGGTGAAACGGTCCATAGTCCATTGAAAGAAAGGGAAAATAGATTAGAAATGGATTAGAAATACAAATACAACATTTGCCACCACAAGGCTTATCACAAAATCTTTATAAGCAAGCATCTGTCTTAAGAACTGGAAGTACCATTATCAGAAGTACTTTTTGTTTTCAGATATTTTAACAGACTAAAATACAGTAATGCAAGAGTTGCCAAAAGTTTTAACACTAACATGAAGCGATATTCCCTGTTTCAGGAAGTGCTGGAGTCTCAGAGTCAAGAATTTATAGGGAATCCAGGGGGCGTGGTAGCAATGAACCCCATATAAAGCGTCCAATGAATGCCTTCATGGTGTGGGCTAAAGATGAACGGAGGAAAATCCTTCAAGCCTTTCCTGACATGCACAACTCCAACATCAGCAAGATATTGGGTAAGAAAAGCGTTAAGAATTAAATAATATATGGAATAAATATCCTGTTCTATTTTCTGCAGTTGTGAGAGGATACTGGATTTGGAGGCCAGATAGTTCATGATATCTGCTTATCCAAAAAATAAGCATCATCACTGAAGATTCTTCTGATGGAAGTATTCTATGTTCATTGAGAAATGTGCCAAATTTCTATAGCTAATTTAGCTGTGTGTCTTCATACAAATTATTGTAATATTTTCTTCAAAAATCTAGAAATATTTTTACCAACACTGAGAAAAAAGTTGCTTTCACATGAGCCACTAGATATTGGTATTGACCATTTTTATTCTTTTTCTTGAGAGCTATGCACAGGTTATTGTTAATCTTAAGGTCTCTTTCTTCTTTTATCATCCTTTGTAACATGAGGATAAGGAGTTTTGTTTGTAGAATTCCTCATATTGTGGGGGTGAGGGTGGAGGTGGGGATGATGTTTGTGCTATAATTGAAAATCAGTTTAGATTCTCAGAACACAAGAAGATGTAAAGTGTACATTTTTAAATTCATACTTTTAGAAACCTTGGGTATGAAAAGTACTTTTAGTAATACTTAGTAACTTTTAATAATTTTCAGTATTATTAAAAAGGGAATTTTCTGGCCATTGCAGCTTTCAGCTTAACAGAAAACAAAACACACATTTACTTTACATGCATAGACACTGAAGCACACACAAAAAATGGGTAGGGAGAAATGGTAGCAATTATAAAGAGTCCTATTATAGACCAATTTTATCAATAGTCCCAGAAAAAAAAGAAGGGACAATTTCTTTTTTGTGTGCCATTCTTTTGATATTATTATCATTGTTGTTGTCATTATCATCTTCAGCTCATCACCATCTTTAACCTCATCTTCAAGTAGCCTGGTGGCCAGGTACTAGACAACCTAAGCAAATTTGGTTATTAATTCTCTGGCTTCTAAGAGATAAATAATAAAAACAGAATAAAAATACCTAACTCTATCAGAAAATTTTGACTCTACCATCTCTGATCTATTTTTTCTTTTTATGACTATATTCTGCTTTCCTATGAAATTTCTCATCTTTAGAAAACAATATACCTGTTTCATTTGGAAAAACTCTGGAAAAGAATACTTTATGTAAACATATCTCATGTTTCAATATATTAGTTACTCCCAAATTAGAAATCCAAAACTGTCAAAATAAAAATAAAGCTAAATACTAAGATTTATAAACTATCTTTATGTCACTGAATTCATGTGTCTGAGTACCAACAAAGTGATAATCACTGTTTAAAACTTCATCCTAAGTATAAGACAAGTATCAGTTTTGATGACATGAAATAATATTTGAGAAAATACAGCAAAAGCCTTTATGAAAAAGAGATGACTGGCTAAGGAAATTTCTTTCTGGTTTGAAGAAGAGAATATTAGAATGACCATATGATTATATCATAATAGTCAACATGAAAGAGAATGCTTTCTTATTTCAGTCTTTTTGATGAAATTGTATTAATTAAAGATATAGCATTTAGGAAAAAATAAAACACTGAGGTGTTTTGGACCTCAATATTTAGTCATAGCTTTAAATAAATAAATGATCTTCAAATATCCACGAGATCATTCTAAATGGCCCATTTCATATAAAAGTACGAAGAAAGCTTGATGTTTTCCTCTTTGCTGATTATTTTGGATAACAGCCTCCGACAGCATGCCGCTAATTCATTCTGCTTAAAACAGGCGCTTGAGCTGGGTTGACATTTTACGTAGTCTCTGGGGATCCTAGTTGACATTTTAAAGGGCTTCTAAGCATTTTATAATACCCTAAAATCTGGTTTTAATAAGCCATTCTGCTGAAATTGTTAACATAAGGAATCACCTTTTACTGCTTGGCACTAGATCAGGGGATGGGGGACATCTTTTTCTGATTAGATATACAGTAGTTGGAGTAAAATGTGCAAATTCATTACAGACCCCATGGAGATGACAATGCTGCTCAGTTCAAACTCTTCACTCTTAGTGTATTGCCAGATTTAGAAAGGAAAAAAACCCTTTTAAGACCTATTTTTTTTCTATTTTGAGCATCAAATATTTTAAATTGAAACTTCCTCTTTTGTCATCAGGGAAAATACCCAATTGTTCTTCTCTATTTTTCATTCTAAAAAGTCTACCTTTTGAAAACAACAGGGGCCACACTCCCTGTACGTGTCCAGGGTAAGCAACCAGCCACACCCAAGTCAAGTAGATATTTTCAGCTTTTTTGTTGATAACTAAAATGCTTTCCCACCATTCTCATCAAGTTTGTTTCGGGGGTTAGCACTGCAGCTGCATGCGGTTATTGTACCTCTAAAGCCATTGAAACCAAAACCAAACTTGTCAGTTGGTTAACCCAATTCGAAGTTACTATTTAAAACATGAAAACTGGGTTTTCTACTAAACTGAAACACTGTTCTGCCTTGTCATAAAATGTAGTAGTTAGCCATTTTGCCCCAGTTTAGTACTTAGGCTATCTTAATTCTTAATTTTAAAAAGATTTGTAATTATTATACAGCCAAATTTTAAAATGTAGTTTAGAGTTCAGTGATACTCCCAGAGAAATTATATTATCAAGAGTTAAAATACTGTGTAATTCCAGTTTATGCCAGATTTGGAAGCCAACTTCTCTGAGAATTTACACGTCTTTTATTATCCCATTTCCTCATTCATATATACATCCTTTTTCCTCTGCATTTTAGCCATACCAGCTTTCTTGAAGTTTCTCTAATTCTCCTTTCCCCTGAACAACCTTGACCATTGTATTCTTCCATAGGTTCTTTTTCTGATTCCTAAGGTGCAGTGGTCCCCAACCTTTTTGGCACCAGGGACCGGTCTCATGGAAGACAATGTTTCCACGTACCGGGTTTGGGAGCGGTTTGCGGGGGTTGCGGAGCTCAGGCGGTGGTGCACAGCCTGTTTCCTAACAGTCCGCAGACCAGTACCAGGCTGCAGCCTGGGGGTTGAGGACTGCAGCAGGAGTCATTTCTAGAGTGCAGTTTCCTGACCTACAGGAGATCAATCTCACCTCCTCATCATATGTTCTCTGATCTTCCTGTACTTCCTACAATTACAACTAAAATAATAAATTTTGTAATTAGGTTTTTAATGCATTTTTTCCAACTGAATATATGCAAGGAGATAGATAGGAACCATAATTCTCTTCTTGAAAACTGCATATTCAGTAATTAATACAGCATTATGTACATAATAGGAAATATAAAAACAGTTCTCACATTTCAAGGCAGATTACTTCAGGCATAAATGTTTCCTTCCCCTAGAGAAACATAATCCTTTTGTACTTATAGGACATTTAAATTTAGGGAAAATCTTTGGCAATTCCTATTGTAACTGGGAATGCTGATTTTGTTGTTCAATTTTGGGATAAAGGTAGTAAATTTTATATTTCAGTCAAGTCAATCATCCTTGATCCATAATTAATGTATTCCTATTTGTTAATAAGTTATTGCTGGCAAGCTTACTTTTCCATTCCCTGATCTGAGTTTCAAAAAGTTAGTATGTACTTGCAAGAAACTCCATGAAAAGAATTGATCTAGTTCAATAGTATTATAATCTTATCTGTGTTTATGTATGCACTGAGAACAACATAATGGTATTGAAGTACCTTTAGAGAGTAATGTTGGGCAAATAAGGACTTTAAGATTTTATCTACAAATGATATTGCTTGACCAACTGACCTAATGTTGGATGATGCGATTTAAACAGAAGTTTGAAAAAGGAATAGAAAAAGAAACTGTATTATTTGAACTGCAGCCTGAGTTTCTATTATAAATAGAAATTCATATTCACTGTCTAGATTGGAAGAAAATCTGTATTTATAAATCTTTGTAACACCTATGTGGATATACCCACCTATGCAACATCTGTTACAATAGGAAAAAAAATTCTGAGGAAATTTCACTGCATGCTTTAAAAAATATAACAGGCCGCATTAAGGAATTCTCTACATGTGTAGGGAAGAACTGTTCAACAGTGAGCTATTTACATTTGAGATACAGAGTTATGGTTGAGTAATGAACCCATGTGAAAGCTTTGAAGAGCTTGCTTAGATGACTTTGGAAGGCAGGTAGAGGCACCAGTACCAGTACATATTTGGTAGGGATCTCCTAGTTCCAGTTTTTGCTCTTTTTACATTTAGGTCAAGTTGAGCTGATTATTTGCAGATAAACATACTTCATCTGCAAACACATTTTTAAGTCTGTCTAAATTAAAAAACAAACACTATTACTACTACTTCTATTACTACTACACATAGCCCTACTGACAGAATCAAACCTTTAAACCACATCTAAAATGAGAATTACTATAAACTATTTTTAGTTAACCTTCAGACTTATTTTTTTTTAAAACTCTAGTTGAATCCACACCAAAATTAATAGTAAAAAGAAGGAGAAAAACAATTTGGGTTATCATTATTAATGCATACCGTATCATGGGAAGCAATGTCAATATTATTGAAAGTGATTTATTAAGAGAAAATTCTTACTCGATACACACTTACTGTAATTCTGACCTCCACTAGATTATATAAAGTATGGGGGGGTCTAGGTATGTAAGGACATATATTGTAGCACACTTTAAATTCTATCAAACCTGAATTTGAGTCACAGATCTGTAATTTAATAGTTGTGTGATCTTGAGTAAGTTACTTCATCTGTTTGAAGCTCAGTTTTCTCATCTACGAGTATAAATTACTGTCTATCTTACAGTATTGTGAAAGGTAGAGATGAAACAACATATGTAAAGTTTATAGCATAGTATCTAGTACGTAGTAGTTACCTAGTCCATGTTTATTAATATATAATTTTAATTATAATTAAATTTGAATGAAATGAATTTACTATAATCATTCCTATAAGCTTAACATACTTAAACATTTTGGGGAAAATAAGAATATATGATATATGTTAGCAACTTTTATAGTAAGTAATGCACCCCCTCATAAATATATTCAACAAACTATTATAGTCTCAGATTCAAAATATGTGACGAATTATGGTATAACTTTTCTGTTCACGGTTGAATTACATCATGGTCTAATGTAGAGATAACAGATATATCCATTAAATTATCTGTGAGTTTTTAAGTGCATAATATAAAAGTTTGGCTAAACTGTTCATTCAAGCCAGAAAAAAAAATATATATTACCCAGTGTTCATATCTTTAGGTACACAGTTTCTTTGAGTATGGAATCACCAACACTTCTGTTCATGTGGGATCTCACCTTTTGAGTCAAAGCTCTCTAATCAAAAACAGGCTTGTATATATTTCTGGGTTGGGGCCAACATTTTTACTTTAGATTTTCTTGTTCTCAGTTATCTCTCTTTTTAGGATGCTTAGAAGCTGTGCAAATTGGAATCCTCGCCTTCTTTTCTTTACAGGATCTCGCTGGAAAGCTATGACAAACCTAGAGAAACAGCCATATTATGAGGAGCAAGCCCGTCTCAGCAAGCAGCACCTGGAGAAGTATCCTGACTACAAGTACAAGCCCAGGCCGAAGCGCACCTGCCTCGTGGATGGCAAAAAGCTGCGCATTGGGGAATACAAGGCAATCATGCGGAACAGGAGGCAGGAAATGCGGCAATACTTCAATGTCGGGTATGGACTTTTCAGTCATTTTTTTCACGGGGAAAACTTCCTGTTATACTTAATGGGATGTGAAACATATCTGTTTAAATTGCAGAGCAGCATTTGGAAAAGAACCTGAACTCAGTGTATTTTCAGAGATGAAGTATTTTCACATGATCTTGAAAAAATATATCAGTATAAATCTACTGCAGCTCCTAGCTCTAACATGAGCTTTGTTAACAACTGGTTTAAAAATAATATCTGCAAGTAAATAATTTTGAAGTTTGCTATTAAAACTTAGAAGTATAACTGGTTCCTTTACTCGTTGATTTTCATTACATCCAAAGCTTCACCATAACAAGTTTTATAACTAACAACTTAGTTGAGGCGATACAGCATAACAATGATTTTGAAAGAAAGAAACACATATTTCTAAATGTAGAGGGATTGCTGAGCTGTCAAGGCACATGTGTGGCCTTCATGGATGGCACAAAGTAGGTATTATATTTAGGGCACGACAAGGTTGTGAATGGGAAAGTTCCATTCTGAATTAAGAATGCAGCTCTCGGGGTGTTTTGCAGTGCTTCCTGTGGCACGGCTGTTGACAGTGCTGTAATATACTACCTGCAACCACATTGCTTCTGTAGAATTCTCTCAAAAACACAGAAAAAACAGTTGCGCATATTTGAAACAGAACTTAGTAAGATCCCGAGAGCTTCTTAGAATGATAAATATTGTTCTTAATATGGCCAGAGGATAACTTAGAAAAAAGCTTTTCAAATCTGCCCTGTCCCCTCCAGTTCCTTGAAAGAGGCTGCATGCTCTGTCCAGGGGTCTGTGATCTATATCAAAGCACATGACTCTTCGCAAAGCTGAACACAACGCCTAACACTTCTTGAGTAAACAGTAAACATATGAATGAATGAAAGAAAGCACAAATGAATATCATCTATTAATACCTTCCTACGAGGACCATCTACCTAATTTATAGGACCAAGTGCAAAAGTGAGAAGATGGGTTCTCTTAAACATTTGTTAAGAATGTCAAGACTGAGAGCACAACTTTTAACCAACTAAGAGGCTTTAGTGCAGTTGCACGGGTTGTTCATCCATGAGGCAGGCTCTGCCTCCTACCCCTACAGGCTACCACTGTTTCAGAGACTAGGTGGACAGTGTGATATTGTTGAGTTCTGGTGTGTTCTGGGCAGTAAAGTTTTAGGGAGCTCTAATACTCTAGAGTTTTTCCATTAAAGTGGAATTATCTTTAGATTTAATTCTAGGAAAGAAACACTATTTCTGTATGGTACAGTGAAGGAAAAGTGACCTCGGCGTTAAGTACTTGGGTTCTCTGCTTCTTTCTGTGCCTCAGTTTTTCCTAAAATAGAATGGCAACAAATGAGGATTACTTACGAATCAAATGGGCAATACATGTAAATGTCTTGCAGTCTCTGAAGCACTATTCAGAAGCAAGGTATTAGAATCAAAGTAGGATACAATTTGGAAAATGTTAGGCAATTGGGTGAAAATTACGTCCTTAGAGCTGGACGTTGCTGAGCAAATTCATTGTATAGTAAGGTGCACGTCTAACTATTCACTCACCCATGATCTCTTCTTTGGGAATTCTTCCCCTCACAGGCAACAAGCACAGATCCCCATCGCCACTGCTGGTGTTGTGTACCCTGGAGCCATCGCCATGGCTGGAATGCCCTCCCCTCACCTGCCCTCAGAGCACTCAAGCGTGTCTAGCAGCCCAGAGCCTGGGATGCCTGTTATTCAGAGCACTTACGGTGTAAAAGGAGAGGAGCCACATATCAAAGAAGAGATACAGGCTGAGGACATCAACGGAGAAATTTATGATGAGTACGACGAGGAAGAGGATGATCCGGATGTAGATTATGGGAGTGACAGTGAAAACCATATTGCAGGACAAGCCAACTGATAAGGGTCAAAAGATTGTTGTGACCTTAGGACTTAAAGAAGCCCTAACTGGTTCATCCTTACCAGTGGCCAAGCACATTAACTTTCTCATACACTGACTGTTACTTTAACTGTTAGTCTTAAATAGTTGGGACATCAGCTGACTAATAGACCTCAGCCTCAAAAGGCTTGGAAAGGAAAAAAAAAATACAACAAGCAAACAACAATATCAACAACAAGAGATTGAAATAAGCTATGGGTAAAATAATGCCAGTAATTCAGCTGCTACATCCAAGCACTGAAGTCTTACCCGTCAACTTTTTTTTTTTTTTTTAATAAACTTTATGGCTGTTTGTTCTACAATGTTCTAGAAATTCTCACTCAGGTACACAGTGCCAACAAGTGGCTTGTGAATGTGTTTTGTTGTTTTGTGCTACAATTTTTAAAAAGAAATAAGTTTTGTTTTGTTTTTTGGGGTTTCTGGGTTTTTTTCCTTTTTCTTTTTCCTTTCCCTTTTTTTTTTTGTTTTATAATGCACCTGACAGAAAAAGAAAGATGAATTTCTCTTTACTTCTCTCCACCTTCTCCATCTCTATACTTTAAAGATGGAAGTCTGTGCATGGGGGGGAAGAGGGAAAAAGAGCCTGTTTTTAACTTCCTTGCTATCCACCACAAAATAAGCAATTATTTTCTTTAGAGGACTTTCTTTATTGCACACCACACTACATCTTTGAGCAAGTGCCAAATTTGTACTGAAGTGTTGACCAAGTTCATTTTTTCCTTTTCCTTTTTCCTGTTCCTTCTTAAGTTAGGACAGTGTTATATCTTAGACAATCCCTTGAAAAACCTGAAATACCAGCAGCTGGTGAGATTTGACTTTTTTTTTTTTAATGGAACTGTAGGTGCTGTTCTCAGGTGAAAAGAGAGAGAGAGAGACATAAGAAATTTAGAGAAAAAAATATTTTCTGATCTTGGATTTTTGTGTGTATGTATGTGTGTGATTATGGTACTAATAGAAATAACGTTGGACCATTGTGAGTTAAACCCACATCTGGGGATGAAATCCCACATCCTCCTAAGTGACTGGTCTAGAAGTAATCTTGACCTTGACTTTGCACTTCAAATGACAATTTAACCAAGTATAGGGCTCAGAAATTATATTTTTAAATGTCTAATATGATTATTATTGGATGGATCAGGTGGCCCTGTGTAATAGAGGTGTGCATGTATAACATGGAAGCTACTAGCAAACTGCTCCCAGATGTCCCTTCTCCCTGGTCAATTGGTTCCACTAATGTTTGCTACTTAGTGATTTTTGGTTGTTTTTCCTGTTGATACTTCAAGCAAAATAACCATTGTTTTAAATGAATATATTTGGCCATATTCCAGATATATAAAATAAGCTTATTTCTTCAACATTCCATCCTTTCCTGACCAGGAAATGGAACTGATGATTTTATAAGGTATTTTTCATCCCTCCATTAAATGAAGTAGAGGCCTTTTGCATTTCAGAGATGTGGGCCATGTGCATTTCACACCGTAAAAATCAGGATTTGATTAAAAGTCACTGCAGCTCAACAAAATGGAGCCTGGTTGAACACAGGGATTTTTGCCACTACTCTTGCTTTGCTGTGAAACAAATCCACTGAAGTCCAATTTTGGTTCCAACAGAGTATGTGCGAAGAGCAGCAACTAATGGGGATGGGACTGCTTATGTACATTTTGCCAGCCACACGCCAAGGCAGGTGTAGGGCCTGTACAAATTAATGCAGAATCATTTCAAGTCAGTTGCCATTATTTGTGTTGAGGCATCGGATAGTAAATACTCCAGCCTGTAGCTTGGATGTGCTATGGTTTTCACTCCAGTTGTCATTTTCCTATCTCACCCCCCAAACACCTCCCTAAAGTTTGATTTTTACATATAAATAAAAAAAAATCCTTTTTGTATTTTTCTCTCTCTCAAAAGACTTGCTCTGGGGTTTTGCTTGAAGGAGCTGATCATATCCTGCATGTCAGAGATTTCGTTTTGTCTGTTTTTCTGTTTGTTTTTGATGACTGTATTTTCATTTAAACTGCCTCTTTTTGCTAGTGTTGTAATAATGATGATGATAAAAATAATAATAATAGTAATAATAATAATAATAATGGTCAGCTGTTCCCAGATTAGTAAGTTATGTATAATTTATTTTATTTCTCCCTTTCTATTTTATTCTGTTCTGATTTGGAAGTACAGCCAATAAGCTGTTAGATATTTAAAACAAATGTCCATCTCCAGCTCACATATATATATACACACACACATATATATACAAACATACACACACATACACATTCACCCACAGTTTTACTTCTCTTTCCATAAGTTTTCTCCTTTTTAAGAATTTTGGCTCCAACAGTATCAGATCTCGTGTTTAGTACAAAGGAGTGAATTAATAGGAGGGTCGTATTCAATCTTAAATAACTTATGCTCTCATCACTCATTTTAGTTATTTAATTGCCACAGTCATCTAGAGCCAATTTTTTGTTTTTGTTTGTTTTGTTTTATTTTTAAGCACTCTGGATAAGGAAAAAAGTAGACACTTGTTTTTATATCATTATTATGTACAATGTGAAAACAGATTTTTTTAAAAAAATTGTTCTCTGTCTTTGTTAACAAATTCCTTCTGATTTATGTGGGTTCACCTCTCACGTTTGCTGGATACTTACTTTACACCATGTTATAAAGATGCTTTGTTTTCATTTCATGACTTTGGGCTACAAGAATACTTTGTTTTAGCTCCAGGTAGATGCCATTGAAGGCATTCATGGCTGAAACTGATTCTAACGTACTTACCAGTGAATTGGCAAAACAATTCCGTTTGGTCTTTTTGTTCGATTTTTATTTTGTTTTATTTGAAGGGGAAAACAAAATTGTTAATGGTGACCTTTAACTGCTGAAATTCAGAAGCTAATTTTATTTAGTTAGGTTTCTGTCCAAAACTTAAGTTTGGATGGACTGAAACAAAATGCAAGTCCATAGCCCTGCATTATATTCTCTTGTTCTGACCTTTAATTCACTGGGCGTTAAAATTTCTTTGTTCTAGTTTTCCCCAAAAGAAAACAAAAACAAAATAATTACTTAAATGTTTACAGTGCTTTGAAATCACTTGATAAAAGGTACTGTGAATAGTAACTTACTGTGTTGACACATTGCCCTTTTGGCATTCGATTGGTTTATGATTTGGGTAAAGGATCCTAAAACTTTGTATTCTTTTTCTGTGCCCCATGATGACCAAAAAAGATAAGGTAGAGGAAATAAGAGTAAGATCAAACTAAAGTCAATATGAACAGTTTCCCTCCTCTCTTTGTTCCTACCTACCTGTTCATTTCCCTCTATCTCTCTCTCTCTCAAATCTCTCTCTCTCAGTCTCTCTCACACACATACTGTCTCTCTCTCTCTCTCTCTCTCTCTCTCTCTCTCTCTCTCTCTCTCTCTCACCCCAACACTGAGGAATAATCGTGCCAGAATTCTGGTTTGTATAGGTGTTGTGATCAGTTCCTCTAAAAGTAGTCACGTTTTAATATGAATGTAAGCATCACTGGAGAAAATAAGTTACAGTTGCTCATTTATAAGTTACTAATAATTTTATTAGTTTCTATAATTACATAAAATATAAAACTGTTCTTCAGTACAGTTATACTTAAATTAGTTAAGTCCATTTTTAAAGTTTATTTGGCATCTGCAGTTAAGAGTTAATCATGTATAAAATCCCTCCCAAAGAACATAATCATCATTGTCGAAACCAAATCCTCTTATAAGGAACAAATATAAAAAAGGTTTTTTTGGTGAAGTTATTTTATAGATTTGATTTCTGGAGTAGAATTTTACTTAATTCATTTAAAGAAAATCATCTCTAACCATTTTATGGTCTAATTTCACATATTTTCTTAATCCAGAAGTTGTTACTGTTCCCAGAAGAAACCTCTTATATCACACTAAAAACATCAAAAATAATTACACTTTCATTCATTCTAAAGGGTAAATTATTGAATTGTAATAAACAACTGTATATTAAAAACAGGTTTATAAAATATTTGTCTATCAAGTTAATAGTAAAATAAAAATTATGGGGTCTACAAGGAAAACTATGAAGCCCACTTAAAGTGGTTCAGATATCTCTTTGTCTTGTAGGGCATAGTGTTTGTTCAGCCAGGCTTTTACAGTATTTAATTTTAAAGTTTCCTATAACTATCAGTTTCCCAGGTTGAAGATGATGTGTTGAGTTTCCTACTGATTGATTCCTGTCCTCCCCAGTGTTTCTGTCACTGGTTCACTAAAACAGTATTTATGTAGCTCCACTGGCTCTAAAGCTCTTAGTCTAACATTTTGGATTTTACAAGTAAAAATGGAAAAAAAAATAGAAAAGAGACAATCAAATGCCTGGAGCTTAAAACAAAGTATGTGCAACCTACCATCTCACTTGAAATTTAATAAAATAAATAATTATGTAAATATAACATAGAGTTATAGATTTATATTTTGTTCATAACACATAGTGTAATATAAGTTGTATATTTTCATGTTTTTGGTTTTATGTTATCATTCATGCCACAATAAAAATAAAACAGGAGTTTATGTACTCTTAAAAAAAAGATGTGGGTTGCCACCAACCTGTTTTGTTTTTGGTTTTGGTTTTTGTTTATTTTGGTTTTTTTTTTTTCATTCTCCTTTTTCAGTATTACTGCCATGCAAGGCACCAATAAAAACAGCAAATGTGTTCTTTACCTATTATACTGTGTTTCTTTTCACGATTCTTATTTGAAGGTGTAATCAGTAGTTTTATTATGGAAAGAACGAAAGTATGGAAAATAATCTTGTTTTCAATATAAATAACCCCACTTATTAAAGTTGACTTTGAACTGAGAACTAATGGTTTAATTCTTAAATGTAGGCATTCCCAGAAGTACAGTCAGAACTTGTTATAATGCATCTCACTCAGACAGATCTAGCTTTACTATAATAGCAAAAGATATTCCTTTTATATGTAATTGAGTCTAATATACTCGAAAACCCTACAGGCTGAAGCACCTTTAATGTGGTTTCCCTGGCTGGACAGTATCATTGGGTT